GCCTCAGCCTCCCAAAGTGCTGGGATTACAGGCATGAGCCACTGCACCGGCCAAATGCTAAATTTTTTTAAAAAACAAAAGAATGTTTAAATTACTTTCAGAGAGGTGACTTCCTATGCTCTAATAACTATGCATGCACCAAGTGTATCTCTACACGCACAGATACACAGAAAATAGCCTGGGATCGAGTAACTTAACTAAACTAGAAATAAGCCATAAACTTAACTTTGGCTAAAACGTGAGCATGTCCACAAAGACAATTTTCAGCTTGGCGGCTCTGGGAGGGAGGGGCCGTCTGGAGCCCTGCCGGGACCATCACACCCAGACTTACGCCTTGGACACGTCGTGTTCTCCATAAAGCCAGCCATCCTTCTCCTCGGGGATGAGCAGCGTGATGACGTCTCCCTGTGCGAAGCTGAGTAAGGTCTTGTTGGCACCCGCGGTGTGCGGGAAGATGGTCTTCACTTTCTGCTTCTTCATCATGTTCAGTCCCGTTGCAACCGAAACTGATCGCTGTAAACTGGGATCTTCGGAAGTATCTGTTGGAGGGAATGTAGCAGTAATGGCTTTTCAAAGCATGAGAATCAACAAGCACGTTCCAATGAGCAAACCCCAGGAATCCACCTGTTCTCATCTTGTTAACAATGCTCCTTCCATGGAAACCGACCCTGTCCTATTTCCTCGCCTTGATCATTGCCCAGAAGGGGCAGGGACTGTTGAGAAACAGAGGCAGCATGTAGCCTGAAGGCTTGCACCGTGCAGAAGAGGATCCCTGCGGCTGCGGGCTCTTTTCCAGGCCCAAGGACAAGGCGGCGTGTGCCGGGTTGATCTGCATTCTGCTTTGGCCAGGATGGCTCTCCTTAGAGAGGCAAACCGCTCCAACGCCAAACTGCCCTCGCAATTCCAATTGCAAAGGCAGGCTAGGGTCACAGTTCAAACCCAATTGCTAATGTCCACAAAGAAAAGAAGCAAGCTGGAAATGCAGTCGGTCTGGCAACGCTGGCCGCTCAGCTTCTCACCCCCGGGGTCTAAGAAGGACGAGGTGAGGATGAGTTGCGTTTACAGAGTCCTCACCAGGTGCCAGTCACCGATCTCAATGTCTCACAGCTGCCATCCTGCCCGGCTCCAAGGAGGAAGGAACTACTGTTATCCACAGGACAGACCCCACAGTTGGCAAGTGGCTGGGCCAGGAACCAGTTAGGACAGTTTCGTCCCATACACTCTACTCAGGGGCATGAGGCTGTGCTGTTCATGTCTCCATTCAAACACAGGCTGATATTTCCACTCCAGGGAAAAAAAGGTAGGAAAAAAAATATGTATATACATTTGAGACAGAGTCTCACTCTGCTGCCCAGGCTGGAGTGCAGTGGCAGGATCATAGTTCACTGCAGCCTGGACTTCCCAGGCTTAAAGGATCCTCCCTCCTCAGCCTCCTAAGTAGCTGGGACTACAGGCACACGCCGCCATTCCAGGCTCATTTTTAATTTTTGTTTTGTAGAGATGGTGTCTTGCTATGTTGCCCAGCCTGATCCTGGCCTCAAGTGATCCTCCCACCTTGGCCTCCCAAAGTGCTGGGACTACAGGTGTGAGCCACTGCTTCTGGCCCTTTTTTTTCCCATTCAAATTTTCCCAGGCTAGTAATACAGCAAGCATCTTTAACTTAAAACAATGCAAGATCTTTCTGCTTCGTTCTTGCAGATTCTTCACGATTACAATATAAACCTTGTGCCCCCTTAACCTGCCACTCTCTACCTCACTGGTGTTGAACCCACCAGCAATTTTCTTTCTTTTTTGAGACGGAGTCTCACTCTGTACCCCAAGCTGCAGTGCAGTGGCGTGATCTCGGCTCACTGCAACCTCCACCTCCCGGGTTCAAGCGATTCTCCTGCCTCAGCCTCCTGAGCAGCTGTGATTACAGGTACGTGCCACCATGCTCAGCTAATTTTTGTATTTTTAGTAGAGACGGGGTTTCATCACCATATTGGCCAGGCTGGTCTCGAACTCCTGACCTCGAGATCCACCTGCCTCGGCCTCCCAAAGTGCTGGGATTACAGGTGTGAGCCACCACGTCCAGCCCTCCACCAGCAAATTTCATTCTGCTTTTACCAATAAGAACCAGAGTCATCTGAATCACTGGGATGCATAGAGTATTATAAACTTTAACTGTGTATTTTAGTTAACTGACAGGACTTCCTTCAAAGGCAAATGCCTACAGACCATCATCTTCCTCTGCTGGGCCATCCTAGTCATCATTCTGGAAAACTCTGTTCTTTTGCCCAATAGCTTGGGACACTCTGGTCCAGGGCTCTCTCTCACCAACAGCTTGACTGCCACAACCTTCACAACATGGGGCCTGTGACACACCCCACGTGGATGGGTTGGGGCCATGGCACAGGTCTCGAGGGTCCTGGGTTATAAGAATGTGCAGAAGGACGGGGTCTGACCAGTGAAGCAGCCGGCAACATCTACAGACAGTAACTGGCTCCAACTTTTGTTTTTGTCACTGTGTCACCCAGGCTGGGGTGCAGTGGCGCAACCTCGGCTCATTGCAACCTCCGCCTCCTGGGTTCAAGTGATTCTTGTATCTCAGCCTCCTGAGTAGCTGGGATTACAGGTGTGAGCTACGACGCCCAGCTAAATTTTAGTATTTTTAGTAGAGACAGGGTTTCACTATGTTGGCCAGGCTGGTCTCAAACTTCTGGCCTCAAGCGATCCGCCCGCCTCGGCCTCCCTGAGTGCTGGGATTACAGGCATGAGCCACTGCGTCTGGCCCCAGCTTGTTGAAATATAGTCAACAAAATTAAGCAATCCAAGTTAGAACTTAAGTTCTTCAACAGAGCATGAGGTGCTCTATTAGAGATGATGAAAAACACTGATTAGAATTCAAACCAGCTGGGCGTGGTGGCGCACACCTGTAATCCCAGCACTTTGGGAGGCTGAGGCGGGTGAATCACCTGAGGTCAGCAGTTCGAGACCAGCCTGGCCAACATGGTGAGGCCCTGTCTCTACTAAAAATACAAAAATTAGCCAGGCGTGGTGGTACATGCTTGCAGTCTCAGCTACTTGGGAAGCTGAGGCAGGAGAATCACTTGAACCTGGGAGGCGGAGGTTGCAGTGAGCCGAGATCGTGCCACTGCACTCCAGCCTGGGTGACAGAGTGAGACTTGATTTCGGGGAAAAAAAAAAAAAAAAATCAAACCAAGCTTATTGGTAAGCTTAATAATCATAATTTTGTCATGTTGATAATTATGAAGTGCTGGGAAGGGAAGAGCGTGGTCCCTTTAAAGGATATGGAACTGGGGAAGGAAAGTGCTGGGTAGAGGAGGGTGTGGTCTCTGGCTAGGGTTCCACCCCCATGGACCTAGGTGAGGACAGGCATTTCCCGCCCAAATGTTGCATTTCCCAAGATCACCCTGGCCTGCCACACCCCCATCCTGTACCTATAAAAACCCTCAAGACCCTAAGCAGGCAGACATGCAAGCTGCTGGACGTTGAAAGGAGTCTGTCGCTGGAGGAACAAACACAGTGGCTAGGCATCGAGAGGGAGGCACCGACAGGCTCCAGCATGCTGGCAGGCCACTGACCAGCAAAACGACACAGGGTTTGGCTGCAACAGTTGGTCAAGGCCACTGAGTGGCCCGACTCCAGGGGAAAACCTTCCCACTCTATCCCCTCCTGACTTCCCCCATCTGCTGAGAGCTGCCTCCACTCAATAAAACCTTGCACTGATTCTCCGAGCTCCCGTGTGACCCGATTCTTCCGGTACACCAAGGTAAGAACCCGGGATACTGAAAACCCTCTTTCCCTGTGACAAGGTACAGGGTGTAATTGAGTTGGTTAACACAAGCCACCTATAGGCTCAAACTAAAACTGAAAGAGCACACGGTAACATGCGCCCCCTGGGGCTTCAGCTGTAAACGGTCGTCCCTAGACACTGCTGTGACATGGGAACCCCACAGCCTGCCCGTCTGTCTACGCCCCTAGAGGTCTGAGCGCCGGGCCCCTGAAGACGCGAGCCACATCCTCATCACAGGCCCTGCAAGGGGAACAAGGGAATCTTTCCCATTTCAGTGTGAACTTTTATAGCTTATTTTATTGCAGAAAAAAGTTTTATTACAATTGCCACCAAATATGGAACACACAGCGAGGCTATGCATGTTTCTTATTGATTGACTGATTGATGGATTGGTTGAGACAGAGTTTTGCACTTGTCACCCAGGCTGGAGTGCAGTAGTGCGATCTCAGCTCACTGCAACCTCTGCCTTCTGGGTTCAAGCGATTCTCCCGCCTCAGCCTCCCAAGTAGCTGGGATTATAGGCAGGCACAACCACGCCCGGCTAATTTTTTGTATTTTTAGTAGTGATGGGGTTTCATCATGTTGGCCAGGCTGGTCTCAAACTCCTGACCTCAGGTGACCCACCTGCCTCGGCCTCCCAAAGGGCTGGGATTACAGGCGTGAGTCACCATGCCCGGCCTCCATTTATTTGTAAATAGGTAATTCTCAACAGTATGTTTACTCTGGATAAACATCAGTCAATGCGTAGAACTGGTGAATGTCAGAGAAATCTATCACTTATCAGAGCACCTCATAAACTAGACCTGTATTTGTTCTGAACTCACACTCTGCAAAGCCAGGGCTGAACGTAGCCACCATACCTGCTTGTTTACCTCCAGACCTTGCAACACATTTATCCAAAATATTTATTTCACAGCTTATCTTAAAACAAATGTAAAAGGTATCTTCAAATAAATCAGACTGAATCTCTTACCTGTTGAATTATTTATCTTTTGTGAATTCGGTGCAGCCGTGGCTGGGTTATTAAACATATCGATCAAGGGACTGGTATATGCCCTGCCTGAAGGAGCAGGGGGCATCTTTGGTGAGCATTTAGAAAGCGTGTCGTAATCTTTCCTCACCTGTGAAAAATTATTTATTAGTCCAATATTAGTATAACACAGAACTGGAATTACAGATTCCCAAGGCTTTTTAAATCATAGGCTATTTATTTATTTTGAGACAGAGTCTCGCTGTGTTGCCCAGGCTGGAGTGCAGTGGCGCCATCTCGGCTCACTGCAACCTTCGCCTCACGGGTAGCTGGATAATAGGCACGTACCACCACGTCTGGCTATTTTTTGTATTTTTAGTAGAGACGAGGTTTCACCATGTTGGCCAGGCTGGTCTCGAACTTCTGACCTCAAGTGATTTGCCTGCTAAGGCCTCCCAAAGCGCTGGGATTATAGGTGTGAGCCACCGTGCCTAGCCACATTTCAGGGGGTTTGAGATGGGCAGAAAGAGTGGATCCATGTGTTCAAAGTACCTGCTACATCCCAGTCTCCACATAGAGCCCAGGTTCAAAGATCAGCAAACAACAAATGTGTGAATTCATTACTGTGAATACTTTGACGCCTATTTTTTTTCCCTGAAGTACCTTACATTGTGATGAATGCCATCAGAGTGTGTCTAATTTATTCTGAGACACCTATACTTCCTTCCTTGGGAGTAAACTTAGTTGGAATGAGTACAATTAAAAACGGTAAGGACGGCCGGGCGCGGTGGCTCACGCCTGTAACTCCAGCACTTTGGGAGACCGAAGTGGGCAGATCATGAGGTCAGGAGATCGAGACCATCCTGGCTAACATGGTAAAACCCCGTCTCTACTAAAAATACAAAAAAATTAGCCAGGTATGGTGGCGGGTGCCTGTAGTCCCAGCTACTCGGTAGGATGAGGCTGGAGAATGGCATGAACCCAGGAGGCGGAGCTTGCAGTGAGCCAAGATCGCGCCAGTACACTCTAGCCTGGGTGACAGAGCAAGACTCTGTCTCAAAAAACAACAAAAAAAAACCGAGTAAGGATAAAATTTCCAAAACAAAGATAATAGCGCCAAACATAGTATAAAACGTGCCCAGCTTGTGGTGGCTCATGCCTGTAATCCCAGCACTTTGGCAGGCCAGGGCAGGCAGATCATGAGGTCAGGAGTTCGAGACCAGCCTGACCAACATGGTGAAACCCCATCTCTACTAATAATACAAAAATTAGCCGGGCATGGTGGTGTGCCCCAGTAATCCCAGCTACTCAGGAGGCTGAGGCAGGAGAATCGCTTGAACCTGGGAGGTGGAGGTTGCAGTGAGCCGAGATCGCACCACTGTACTCCAGCCTGGGCGACAGAACAAGAAAGACTCGGCCTCAATAACAAAAGACAAACATGTGCCCAGCTACCTTCACCCCTAAAGGTAAGGGGATAGAGCTGTGAAAAGGTGGTCCTGGAAGTACTAAAGAAGGACCTGTGATTCCCACCAACAAAGGCAAACGTGGCCCAGATCAAGTTAGGAAACACATGATTGAAATCTGGAAGAGAAAACCGGTTCCTACCACATTGCTTCTCTCGATCATGGGTGAAGGCTGAGGCGTTCCGGACACGGGAGTCGAGGCTGGGGTCTTTATTTCTTCGATCATATTCATGATTTTCTCTGGCACTTTGATGGCATCAACACAGGTCTCCTGCCACCGGGGCAGCTTGGAATTCAGTAGTTCTGCAGACTGCAAAGCCAAAAGAAGACGACTAAAGACAAAGATGATTGTCTGAAGAGCTGAGAAAAATGACATCATGTCATATCACTGATAACAGAATTACTGGCTTAGCACCAGGAGTGTGGGGGCTCTGGGTTAAACTACTAGGTGAGTACTTTGAGTGCCTAGAGGATCAGCTGTGTCTCACTGGCCGAGAGGGGCAAAGGCTCTGACTCTAAAGGAAATTTCCTGCTCCCTCAGTGTGAATACATAGCATGGGACTAATACGGAGATGGTAAATGGTTAAGAACAAGAACGGAAACGCAAAGGGAGGGAGTGAGCAATCTGTATGAATCCCGTTTTCCCGGTGGCCCCAGAAACGTCAACCATCACTTTTTCCCTCCCACTCCTGTTAAAAGCAGCACCTCCAACACAGGCCACTGGCCCGGGAGTTGGCTCTGACCGATTCAGACATTAGAGACGTGAATCAGACTGTCCTGAGAGTCTGTCTATGGGGAAGAGGGACCGTGGGTGAGTGGTGGGCAGTGCTGAGGGATGCTCCCCGCACCATAGGCCAAACAAGGCTTTGCAGAGCAGACCTGACCAGCAGGGGCAAGAACCCGCAATCCTGGAGGCAGAGCGCCCCTCCAGCACCCACGAGCCTGGTTCTGCTGACAGCTGGACTCTGAGAGGCCCCCCAAGCGCTTCCAGTGAACACCTTTTCTGAACGGCACTCTGGTTGGAAAAGGGGAGGCAGGGGCCTGTCCTGCAGCTGTGTGCATGGCAGTCGCACTGCTTTTACTCAGCTTCTGAGTTTATCAAGAGTGGTGGGGGCTGATGTCAGTCCTGGGGAAGGGCAAAGCCCCCCTCACACCACCCGTCCCCAAATGTCACCCTGACACACTAAGTCAGTGTGACGCCACCCCCAACTGTCACCCTGACACTCTGCAGCACGGTGGACCAGCTGCTTGGGCCTGCTTCATCCCAACTCCACAGAAAGGACTGGGGCGCTTTAGCTGGATTAAGGGAAGTCACAAAACCAGTTTTCAGATACTTGAAGAAACTTCCAGTATAGAAAGGAGCAGTTCTGGTCTGCATCACTCTATAAAGCATTACTGGGGACCTATGGTTAAGTCTAAGAAAGACTGCTGATAACTGGAGCTCCCTGAAAAGGGGCCAGGCTGCCTCATGACACAGCGGGGCACCACGCAGGTAGAGAACCTCGAGGTCACCTCTGTCCTCTCCAGCCTGCAACTCCGGTGCCACAGGACGCCCTCACTCTGGGAAGAGAAGATTCTGAAGTGAACTCTACATTCCCGGAACTAGTACAGACGTGCTGTTGACAAGAGTGATCACCTAATACAGCAATTATTTCCTTTGCTATAACCATTCTGTTCTTTTTTGAGAGAGGATTTTGGCTCTGTCACCCAGGCTGGAGTGCACTGGCACGATCACAGCTCACTGCAACCTCGAACTCCTGGGCTCAAACAATCCCTTCCACCTCAGTCACCTGACTAGCTGGGGCCACAGGTGCACACCACCACACCTGGCTAATTAAAACTTTTTTTTTTTTGAGAGACAGGGTCTTGCTATGTTGCCCAGGCTGGTCTGGAACTCTTGGGCTCAAGTGATCCTCCTGCCCTGGTTCCCAAAGAGCTGGGATTATAGGCGTGAGCCACTGTGCCTGGCCTGCTGTACGAATTTTAAATCTTATTTAGTTTAGGGAGCTGAATATTCCTTTTTCTTTTTTTTTTTTTTTGAGACAGAGTCTTGCTCTGTTGCCCAG